ATGCTACCGATTGGTCCAGTGGTGAGAATTTTTGTCTTCTTAACATTGAGCCTCAGTCCATACTGAAGGCTGCAGTCCTTGACCCTCTGCAATAAGTGCATGAGGGCCTCCTCAGTTTCAGCGAGCAAGGTTGTGTCATCTGCATAATGCAGATTGTTGACAGTCGTCCACCAATCCTAACGCCACGCTTCTCCTCATAGAGCCCAGCCTCTCGGATAATCTGCTCTGCATACAGGTTGAAAAGGTAGACAATATAAATCCCTGCATGTCAGCTTTACAACCTTAAAGGAGTGAACCAGAGCTGTGCTAGGTGCAGGGCATTGGTGGGACTGGTTGTGGGCATTTGCAGACACTAGGGGGTGGTACAACTCTCTAGGTTTCTTCTTGTTGCTGTGTCCCACCGAGTCCAAGCTAAAGCATAGCTAAACCCCCGCCCCCTGAGGGTCTTCAGAGGCAGTAAATCATACAGGATGAGATTACCCATCTTTCTCCCAGAGCTGGTGGCTTTGAACCGCTTGCCTTTAGGATAGCAGTGCAACTCTTTACCACTAAGCCACCAGAGCCCCCTCTAGGGCTTCTAGGAGTTAGAATTTACTCAGTGCTACTGGCTATTGAGGGGCGTTTAGGGTCACACCCACTGCCACTGAGAAGATCTGAGCTATAAAGCTGTAAATGCTTATGAAAGCAGACTGTCACATCTTATGGTTTGATAAGACCAATGTGTGACCAATGGCCTTGCTATTAGCAGCCAAGGATTTTAATCACCACACAACCAGAACTTCTAGTTCAGGGGCAGACAAGAGCCAGTCCTCGGTTGGAAACGTAAATCCAGGACTGAGATAGCCCCCAGAGGCAGAGTCCCCACTGGTGTCTCTGCACACTAACTAGTGTGAACACATACACAGCCATCTCACAAGGGCCTGGACCTGAGGACCCAGGGGAGGCCTTGGAGCCAGAGCAGGTTGAAAGTGGCACATGCACTGTGCGTCCTGGGCCTCTGATGAAGGACAGGAGCCCCCTGGAGCCAGAGGAATGTTGCCCAACAACAGGACTCTGCTCAGGCTTGCAGTCACATGAACACGCCCACTGAGACCTCATCTGTCACCCAGGAACTCCTTGTCTGTGTCTGAAGCCTCTATGTACTGAAAGTGACACACCCTGAGACGCGGTCAGCGTCCCAGAGGGCTCACTTTACGCACCTGGACTCTGGGGCTTGAGTCTCCAGGACTGCGAGTGCTCACACATGCTCTCTCCCTGCTTGTCAGTGAGAGGAAGCCAGACCCGCTGTACCTGCTAACAGTGCCACTGGGGG